ATACATGGTCAGACACCCCATTACTAAAAATACAACTCAGATCTTAATTAAGATTACTACTTATTGGATACACATGTTTCAAGGGCTATATCAAAGTAATATTGGTACTACCAAATCCATGTCACGGTAACCAAAGAAAGCCTTAGAAGAACACCAACAAACAAAAGCTCTCTACAATACTCCCTTTGATCCTTATGTGTTGTGGTATAACATAATCAAAACTAAGATCCATTTCTTCCGGAGACAAACAATCAAGACACACTCTGAATTAAAGTTTTCTCTGTAGCAGTTACTTTGATTTGATCTAGTTATAAATGAACAATACAAAATAATATTTGAGTTCAGGAGATTTGTCGTCCATGGTGATGATATCTTAAGAAGAAGAGAGTAGATTAGTTATTGTTGGAATGAAATTGTACGATGAAATTCTTGAATCATAAAGGAGGAGACATAATTGAGTGATAAATATGGGAGGGAGAATTAAGAGATAGTGGTTGATTTGGAGTGAAAGAGTTAATTAAGCAGATAATTAATCAATCCTAGTTTTAAGATATGTGGGTATCTAATAATCTAATTGTATCTTCAAATAATATATTAATATATGGTATAAAATATTAAAAGTGGTAATATATGTAATTGTTTGAAAGTAAAGATAATATTAGTATATATAGTAGAGATGTATGTCTAATAAGGTAGTTTATCCATATTAGGGTATTAGAATCATTTTTCTAACAATACATTTTAGCATAGAAAATAAAAGAAAAAAAACCCCTGGAGAAAGAAAAGAAATACACCCACCCTCATATAGCAACACACAAGAAAAGAAGAAAAAGCAAAAAAGGCAACACACACCCATACAAATACTATACTACCAAAATAAAATAAAAGCTTACGCAGCAACAACAACACAACCCATAATACAACACTAAAACATTTCTCCCTTCCAGCAACCCAATACATAAAAGAAAAAAACAAATAATCTGTTCACCGCCTACAACAAAAAATACACACAATTAAAGGAAAAAACAAAGGATAAATTCAACGTTTGCGTTCGTGATTTTGAGTTTATTGTTTCTTATCGGGATCATTTTCTTTTTATGAATTGATTTTTGCAAGAATTTAATTTTTATTGTATGATTTGATTTTCATGATTATATAAGACATGATTCCGATATTATAAAGTTGCTCAAATTTTTATATGTGTTTAACTAATCATAGGATTCTTTGAAGACGGTATAATAGGAAGTATGCTGAAATTTTGATTTTGTTAAATTCAGAGTAAAATCAATATAATAGGTGATTATCAACGTTGTTTTTATCTAATAGTTTCATTTTTTTAGTTGAAATTTTATTTCAAAAATTAGATATATTTGCTATGTTTATATGAAAATTCACTATGATTTATTGTAGGAACATTTATCTTGGTTAAGAAATTTGAAGAGTGCAGTCATTAAAG